CAGCAGTTAGCGTAATGGCTATGTTGCTGGACTCCCACGTAGTCGACTGTGGATCGCATCCCGGACCCAGTGGCTTAAAACTCACGCTGGGCATGTGTGCGTAAGTGTCCAAGATCCTGAGAGGAGAATGGAGGAGAAAGGATTGCAGCGTGACCATCCTCCCCCCTGGGGGGTGATTTCTCGCTTTCTGTCTCTCTATCTCTGTCGCTATCTATGTCTGTCTGTCTGGCCAGCACACGCGCCCTATAGCAAAAAAACAAAACAAAACTCTCAAAAAAAAGAAGGATGGAATATAGAAAGACAGACCATGGTATCCTGAACCAATTCTACAATTCATTTCTTGGAATTACACAATAAAACCTAGGCCTAGTGCGTTTTGAGAATGGAGAGATGGGGGGGGAGCAAGTTTCTATTTGCTCATGCAACAGATTGGGAAGCTGGGGTAACCATATAAACAAGAAGAAATGGTAAAGTACGAGTAACCCAATGGGAGAAGGGAAAGTGGACGACACCCAGAGAAAGGAAAAAGAGGAAGAGATGAGACAGAAAACTGAAGATTTTCTTTGTTTAACTATGGAAGCAAAGTACATTGACTTTATTGAAAGGTCTAGGTCCACGGACACTTTTTTTAATGTTTATTTATTTATCCACTTATTTATATATATATATTTAATTTGACCCGAGAGAGACACACAGAGAGACAAGGGGAAACTGAAAAAGCAAGCCACCAGGTCTGGGACTCCAACCGTGGTTGGCAATGTGGGAGTGTCCAGCGCCTTAAGCACCACGCCACCTGCTGGTCACCATTCTTATTTACTCTTCTTGAAAGATGAAAATCTTTTGTTAGGTACATCTTTGGATTCTCAAAGTGTCTCCACATAGTAATGGAACCGGCCAGAACCTGGCCGAAGAAGCAGCTTGGAGCTTTCCTGAGGCAGAACCGCTGGGTGACCTAAGGGTGACCCAACTGCACATAGGGCATGGAGATGCTGGCTGCAGCAGAGCCACCATTTGGATCAATTAACAGTTTCCATGGTGAACCAGTCAGTCTGCTGCGTTAGTTGTCCAATCAGCGTTGTATAATCAAGTCTTCATTTCCATACACAGACTTAATTAAAGACTGGGACAGAAATTATTTCCCTAAAAAAGCCCATTCCAGAACACACTCGGGGAAAGTCTTCTGAGCAAACCTAGCTGTCTCCTGGGTAACATCGCCTATAATAAATCCTTTAACCACAAACCTCATGGGTCAGAGTTTAGCTTTTCTGGGAGCTACTGCTCCCCATACCTACTCTGTTCAGTAAAGTTAATCCTCTATGTAAACAGCTATTTTAAGCATTTTGGAGACCAAAAAAGAAAATTTACTAATTACACTAATTTTGGGGGGTTTTTCCCCATTTCCAGTAGTTAAAATTCATTTCAAGAGTCCAAATATTTTTCAAGTGAAACTCTTTGCACTGTAAGACAAAACAAAAATTGTAATAATTCACCAACATCCAACACAGTCCTTTAGGAAGGGTTGGAGAAGAATGTATATAAATAGTTTTTGGTGACATTTGTATAAATACGCTTTTATCCACTCTTTACCTCCACTACCTGTCTGAAACTATTAATGATTCAGATAAAGTTAGAAAAAAGAGTCAATTTTGCAGAGAAAAGAGTGAAAAAAAGCAAGAAACCTCTCTCATGTTTTATTCTGAAAAGCTACCACTAAATTCTCCACAGCCTTTAAATTGGTGTTAGGGTACAGGGTTAGTAGAATCAAGAAATTACCTTATCAGCTGAGGTCACTGTAATTCTCAAACTTGAGAAGAACTGCCTCATGAAAACGTAAAGCTAGGGACTGGTACAGGTGACATGATTCTTATGACTGGGTACTATGTGAATTTTTTTACTCTTACTATAATAAGTGCAGAGAATTTAAGATTGATATGTGATGTAAGAGATTGAACATGACTTAAATGTATGTTGTCTGTCGTAGTGCAACTTACATCTATCTTTTTATCTACCACCAGATAACAAAGCATCACAAACTTAACTGACTTTAACAACTCTACAAAGCGATTAGCTGAAGTAACTCAAAGTCACTGCCTGGATCTGGAATCTGAAGGCTCGCTCACTCACATATCTATCAGTTGATGCTGGCTATTGCCTGGGAACTCAGCTAAAACTGCCAGCTGGAATATTTCTATGTGGCCTCTCCAAGTGGCTGCTTGACTTCCTCACAGCCTAGAAGCTATGTTCTAGAAGTCAACATTGCTAGAGAGACAAGAGAACTAAGAGGACAAGAGAAGCTGTATTGATCTTTATGACCTAATCTCAGAAGTCACGTAGTATTGCTTGCAGTTCATTCTACTGTTTTAAAGTAAAATCCACAAAACGACTGCATTTATAGGGAGGTGACACAGACCACACATCTCTCAGATGGAGGACTGTCAAAGTCACATGGTAACAAGATCATGTGGAGTGAGACCAGCAGTTAGCATAATGGCTATGTCGCTGGACTCCCATGAAGTCAACCGCGGTTCAAGTACCGGACCTGGTGACTTAAACTCACAACGGATATGTGTG